GGAAGAAGAAGCGGCAGCAGCAGCAGCGAGGGGCGCCGCGATGCTCGAGATGGAGGCGGCAGGACGGGCGGGCGCAGGGCGGCGATTCGCGAGGGCTCCTCGGTAACTACACTTGCGAAGTCGGTTCAATTAAAAGAAGAGCCCCTCTAGCGGCCAGCGACAGCAGTGGCAGCCGCATCCCTTGGGATGGGCCTGGCTCGCGCGGAGATTCCCGCTCCTGGCTGGGTCCGTGCAGCCTCCTCGAGAGATCCCGGCCCCGCAGCCGCGGAGGCGCCGGCGGCTGCGGCTCCTCTGGCGACCTGCGGCTCCCAGGAGGCCGCGATCCGCAGCTTCATGCGCCTCGTCCAGAGCCCTGGCGGAGCTGGGCGCCCGGGAATGCCCTGGATGCAGGCTGGCAGCATCAGCCCCATTGCACTGTCATGCGCAACAGTAAAACAGTCCTGCCCTGTGGAAGAGCGTGCAGACCTTTGCCTTGTCCTCCTCACTCGCATGGAGGTGGAGAGGGATGTCTCCAAATGGAGAACACGCTATTAGTCTGTCCCTTCACAGCCTAAATTCTTTCTCAGCTGATGGAAGCAGCAACAAGCAGTGTCTGCCCGCTGTTTCTCCAGCTCCACTGACTCTTCCCAGTCTCCTTCTTCCATCTTCACTCTCTGAAATTCACCTGATTTCTCCCAGGCCCTTTGAGCATCCATCACCACAAAAGCCTCACTGATCTCACCATCCTCCTTCCATCAACCTCTCCTAACAACTAGTCAGATTTTGCTGTCGATCCCAAATGAGCTGTTTTCTTCTCATTCTTTGGCCTGGAAAATCCAGGTTTTATTCACATAACTTAGAATTCACTCCAGACATACCAAAAGCCCTGATTATCAGCATTATTCGAAATGAAAAAAAAAAATTCATAATTTACAGTGACCGTATGCAAGGAAGGAAAAAAAACAAAAACAAGAGAGAGAGAGAAAGAGAAAAAAAAAAAACTTTCCGTAGTGAGGAACACATCTTGCCTGGAGCCCCTGAGATAAGAATAAGAGGCAGGAATTCTACTCACACAAAGTCCATTTTCAGAATAAAAGTTATGTATGGGGAACTTGTGCAGACAAAAAGGTAGCAGTGTTTGAATATAACTAGCCATTATATCTTTTCCCCCTTTTCCTCTTCTCTCTTGAGGAAAGACTGGCTAGGTATTGTACATGCAACACTTCTGAAGTAAGGCCTAGAAGGGTATTCTCTGGCACTGTAATACTTAATCACTGCATACAGCACGTTGTATCGCTGTTTATGATTAAGTTTATTTCTCCCCCTGCCCTCCTTCACTGCATACTTCTAAACCTATCACTTTTCATCCAGTCTTTTTGATCACTTGCTAAAGATAATTTTTCTCCACATGCCTGCAGTCCCAGAACTTAAGTTTTTAAAAATGCTGGGAGACTATAGATCTGGAGGAAAATCACGCTAATCAAAGATGTTTCAGCATCGCAGAAAAGCAGATCTTATATTAACATCTAAATGCAAAGGAAGAAGAGAAGAAAACAAATTAATACAGGCAAAGAGCTATAATAGGGGATAGGGCCTGGCTCAGAAAACTATTTTGCAAGTTAGTGGCTGCCCAGGCAACAGTTGTCCTCTGCTTTACAGTCATGCAGATGGATTGAACAGAACAGCTGTCCTCAGGAGTTCCCCTGCAAGTTTGTGCCACCAAACAGCATTTATATCTTATCCTAGGCTGAGAACATATGCTACTGAAAGAGCTATGGGTATTTTTTTTTCTTTTGTGTAGTTCTTTTCTCTGTTCAGAGAGAATTTGTTTTCCTTTTAATCCCCTCCCACCACCACCAATCTAGAACTCCTAATTCTGTGAGGCTCTTTCCTTTACCCTGAGTGATATCAGGTTCTTCTGATTCCCTCTTAAATGAAAATTTCAGATATGGACAGCTTTGACTCTCCTGATTTTATTCCCTGTGCTTGTCTATATAGTATGTCTATGTAGTCCCTTTGGCTTGTCTGTCTTTTTTTCCCAAGCTCCAGGTCTTAGCAATGGCACATTTGGATTTTCTTCATTAGACGATCATCACCTGACGATTAGATACATCACCTATATTGTGACTTCTGCCTCAGGGTCATTCCACAGTCAGACAATCCTAGAGTAACCTCCAGAGCCTGGAGCCTGCCTGAAAAGCTGCTTCTCATTTCATGATGGGTTTGCCTTTTGCTTCTTCAGTGATGTAGTAGTTTACACAAGGAACTGTCAGGCACTTGTGCTGCCACAAGGTAAGGGTCAGGCATGCATAGCTGAGAGACAGCTGGAGATAGGAGTTCTGTACCCCAGAGGGATGAACTCTCCATCATTCTCATAGAAATTAGGGTCAAGTTTGTGTTTGTTCACCCCATAGAACTATATCCCACCTTATGAATGTTTCACATGTCTTGATGCCACACTTTTTTGCCTCTTTTTTTTTTTAATTTTATTTTATATTTTTAGAAACAATATCACCCAGTTGTTGGAAGAATCTTGTACTTTGTCTTGATATCTATCTACAGCCGTACTTTGTCTGCCATTTTTTAATATCATCAGTTTACTCAAATGACAGTCTTGCAACTGTCTTTTGGTTCTTTTTGGTACATATATTCATTGCAGACCTTATGCACACAAACCTACACTTTAAAAATAAATTTAATTCTCATTAGAAGTTCGTAAGATTACATAGATCATGAGTATTTCTGAAACAGCTAGTTGGTTCCTCCATACAGTAGTTGGTAGTAGTAGTAGTGATGGTAGCTCGCTAWCAGTGTACAGTGTCTACTTTTTAGTAAGCTACTATCTAACTTCCTGAAACCAGTTAAAATACAGTATTTATCATACAGTATCATAAAAATAGCCATTATTTTACATTCTGAAGAAGAACCGCAGCATCTGAGATAGCAGATATGAGTGTTAACYGTTCGTAAATGCTAGCTTTTAACATATATCACTGTAAGACTATAGCTTGCAACAGTCATGTACTGTGCATGGGATATTTTTGGTGTTCCGAGTGTTGAATCAAATGAAGATCATATTAAAATGGTCCCCAGCAGGATTCTGATTTTGCTCTCAAATGCAGCAAGATGAAGTTTCATGCAATTGCAGACATATCTGTTAATATGCTTCAATGGCATATTCCTCACACAAGGAATTTGTTTTGCTGAGTATTATCCTGTACAAAAGGGATAACAGAACTGAATCTTTGAACAAAGGATTAGAACATAACCTAAAGCTAACTGCCCTTCCATGATGTCTGTCCTTACTTGCCCTGAGCAGCATTATTTCTGCTACTGACACATAACGTGAATAATAACCAATAAAATGCTTTCATTTACTTCAAAATATGTATTTTTTTTTTACAGCTCTGAATATTTTCCATAAGCATTGCAAGTATTTTCTTAAGGCTGTACTTTTATGTAGAAAGTGTGTACAAAATACGTATTGTACAGTGATGATTTAAACACTGGTCTAAAAGATCTTTGTAAAGTTAAGTTTTCACCCAGGACTAGGAGACAAGGATTCTGAAATATCTAGAGAGAGGAAATAAAGATTAATCCTTTTTAGAGATATGTATCTGAGAAAGAAGGAGCAACAGAAACAGCCAGTTGCAACCTCCTACATGATTTGYATGATGAGCCGAGTTACGTGCTCCTGTATTGTTCAGCTGTAGAGCTTCCCCTCCAGAAATCCTATTAGGAGAGGTATGCTGGCCAGGAGAGAAGGACGTGTCTGCGGTTATGAGTCTTTACATGGCTACACTTAACAAATTCTTGTTCTCAGAGCAGAGCTTTGGGTCTGCTCTATCTTACTCAACAAAGTCAAGGATTCAACTGATGGCAGGGTGACTTTGACAAAAATTCCTTTGTCCCTTTTCTCCTCTACCTTCCTGCACCTTACACAATGAATGCCACAGACACATTGACTGAAAYGTCATAGTAACCTAGATCAGCATGTGCTCCTCAGTGAGTACTACCTAGCTTCAGGTTGAGTGGTGCGGTGAGTTGTGGAGTTGGCAACTGAGAAGAATTGTCCTCTCTGGTGGCCTAGTCCCCTCCTCTTTCCAACTCATATGCAGAGCTGTGATCCTAGGTCAGAATAGGGATGGTAGAGAGGAAAACATCCAGCAACAACAAAAAYAGTCCCTCAATGTCCAGGAAGGGTCAGTGATAGCTGGCAGCAAAGCAACTTCAACAAACTTTGCTTTTTATAATATACCAGTTTTATACCAGTTTTATCCTAAACCTATATCAGTTTGTTCCAAATCCACCCTTTTTCCAACATAACCCTTAAGACAGGTTTATGCTATAAGTTGGCAACTATTTGGTTGGTTTTTAAGAGATGCCCGTTGAGCATCTCTTATCTTTTCTAGAAACCACTGATGAATCTACTAAATTTATTTCTGCAGATGTATTATACATATAAGATACAAAATCTTACAAAGTCTGGAACAACTTCTTCATAAGAAATACTACTAAAATACAAAGATATTTTCACCACACTACCT